CATAAATGTGCTTGCAAGTGTCGTTTCAAAGAGGTACGAGAGTATTAGGTAGAGGAGCAGGAGGCGAGGCCTGAGGTGAGATTGACGCATGGCGCAATGTCGAGTAAATGTCAATCTAATTCTGATATGCTAAAAGGCCTGTGAAGAAGAAGACAGCTCTGCTCTGCCTCGTTCATTACAACTCTCCTACAGAATATGGTGGATAAATGTGGAGTTAAGTACAGGCTATCACAGCTATATAAACAGTTTAATGACATTCAGTGTGTGAAGAGCTCTTGTCTGGATGAGACAGGCTGATTAGAAAAAACAAGCGTTTAAATGCGAGCAGTAAAAGCAGTAATGGCACTGTCCTGTCAGTCTTGGCAGTATCCCACTGTGACCCTTCTTATGATCATGTGAACGTACATCCTGGTTAAATTTACGGCGGACACCTTCACTTTTATTTCATTTGCATAATATGGACACACACACATATGCCAAAACCTTCTGGCAACATGCCATGTAGGGGTTATGTTAAGGGACAGTGGGGAAGGACAGCAAACTAGAGCAGTAAGCACATTTCACCGGGGGGATACAGTTACACATACACTGATTCCTCAACCTTTCCCCCTCAGGGTCGCTCTTCTCTTTCTAAACCATTCTCTCTGTCTCTCTCTCTCTGCAATAAAATTTTTACAAGAACGCTCACCATTACTTCCGGCAGAGTAATGCAGGATGTCCCTTTCCTCTCTTGCTCTGATCTATATATGGCTCATCAATGTCTCCATTTCCCTCGACATGTTGAGCAGTTCGGAGCGACATAACAACTCATTCAACCAACAAATTAAACTACTGTTGGCCACAGTGATGCAGTTACATTTTTATGGTGGCACTCTGTTCACATACTTTTTGCCTAGGTTGGCTTTTGTGTCAGACAATTAATAGTCTATAAGTAATAGGACACCTTATACGTTGAGGCGGGTAATTTCTGTCCTCAGACGGAGGTCAAACCAAGCCAACTGCTGGACACTGGCTGTAAAAGATAATTTACTGGTTACTGGTAACACACAAAGTTACTATGAACCAAATGTTTCTGTATGAGCATGTATGTGTTCTTGTTGATAAAAATCACTATTATTATTAAATCAAATGCTTTACTTAAATAAAAACAGAATTTGTTCATTCTTATGTTTTGTATGTAAAATCTTAGTCGGTGAAGACCCCCCTTCATCAGAATCACTGAACAAATAATTTCTCTCATTATCTATAAAGGAATTATCACACAAATGAAATTTATCAAACAATAATGTTTACCTCAAGCAAGAATTTTACTTCAAATGGTGCCAATTGTGTTGTTTTCCTACAATGTTTTTGGCTGCTGTTCATTCCCAGTGTGCCAGCAGTCCTGGAGAGTCTGTTTTTGTTCATCAGTTTTTCCACCTCAAGGATAAAAGCACCGACCACATCCCTCTTCCCTATTAGCCCTTGGTCTCCAGTGCCGCCTTTGAAGATTTAATCAGTCAGATTTCCTTGATTAATCCTTTTTCATGTCCTTTTCACTGTAAATAATTACAGAGTTTGATACGATCGCTAGCTGGATAGAGAGGACAGCATGCAGATTTCTGTTAGAGCCGACTCCCCAGGTACCTGCATTAGCCTGATTATTCTTATCCAAACACACTCCAGCAAACAGTTTACATGTAAATAGGTTAATTCTATCCCCACTCCTCACTCACGGTACACTGTGTTTAACAGAAGAGATCTCACCAAATGTTTCATTCAGGCTCTACCCTGTGTAAAATCACTGTCAAATATATCATTTGTACATAATAACATTGTGTTTAACAGATGAATTTCAATCAACCGCAAGGAAGGACCATGTGTCGCAACTACAGAAGCCCTTCACAGTTACAGCTGGTTGTCTAATGATGACACCTAGTGGACAAATACTCATCTCAAATTTAATTGATGATTTTATTTCAGCAAAAAAACATTCACCACTTGATGGCAGTACAATTCTACTCTCCTCCTCTACAGACTTAGTACTGACAAAAGCATCTTATGACAGCCAAAGCACATACAGTACAGGATACTACTTTTTCCTGATCTTCAGTTGAATTAAGATTATTTTATTGGTGTCTGAGTAAGTGTTTAGCATCAGATGCCTTGTTGCTGAGCATAATAGCTGCATGCTGTTGTGTAGCAGAGGAGATGAGGAGCTGCTGCCCCGGCCGCCCCTCTCCCCTCAGGATTAGTGAGTTAATGCAACCATTCAGACACTGAGCTCTGATCAGCTGCTTAATACTGTTTTATCCCAAATAACACAACCATGCACGCACAGACTGTCCACAGACACTTACTGCACAGGCATAAACATACATATACCTACGCAACTCTACACATACTGTACACCTTATACAATATATGGTTGACAGATAATATTCAGCCAGTAGAAAACTTCTCTCAGGCAAAAAGATAAAACATGCTTTATCTTACAGGCTTGTGATTTTCTAATAACATTTCCCAGGAAAAAAAAATGACAGGAAAAACATGAATTTCCTTAAAATAACTGCCTCATTTAAATCCAAGTAAATGTTGATTCATTATTCACTTATAAGAAGAAACTTTATACTGTGGTGGAATTACATGCATGATTGCAGACTAATTTCAAATTTTGGATGCTTTCGTATGTGCACTGAAAAACTAGATGTCAACTGAACACTGTCTTTATTTTTCTATTTTAATACCAGATTAGTTCCTTCTTAATTTTCTTTTTATGATTCAAAAATCACAGACCTGTGAGATTACCAAAATGTTCCTTTAACTAGAAATGTCAGTTGTGAGCTTAAAAACCTCTTTTACATAAGTGTTTTGGCCAAAATAGCACACAAGATATATAGCACCTCTTCTGCCATCAGGCTCATAGATCCAAGTCATAGTCAAGGGGGTCAAGGGGGTAAGGGCGAATGCAGCCCTTCGTTTGTCTTGGGTGCGAAAGTGCCCTTTTCAAATGGAAAATCTTTTGTCCCCCTAAGACATTGGTCTATCAACAGTCTATCATCTATCATGTGGATAAATAAGAAATATCCCACATATCCAGTGTCAGATGCTCTGTCTGAGGATAGGCTGTGCCTTCAAAGAGCAGAGAGATGCCCTGTTTTTGTTATTCATCCCGTCCCTTCAAAGTTAGTCCCTGGCTTCCCTGGTTAGTAGTGCAAATGCACTGCTAACACACGCACACGCGCGTGCGCACGCGCACACACACACACACACACACACACACACACAGAGGCTTATACTAATCCTTGCGAAAACAAAGTGATATATCTCTCCCAGCGCAGGTCAACCATGGGATGTTCATCAGGATGTTTATCAGGATTATGAGCATTTCATCCATAATATAACCTCTAACATCATACTTACCAAACAGTCACCGTTCTAAATGGAAAGATGCAGTGAACATTGTGCAGAAATACACTGGTTGGGAAGTTAACTGGCAAATAGAGGAGACAACTGACTTTTTATGACCATTCCCACCAGTGAGCCATGACCCAGTGTGACCTTGTGACCCCCTCTAACTGACCTCTCAGTGGGTGGCCTTCACACTGACCAGCCTGGACCATGAATCAACAGAAGTGGCTGTTCTTAGATCAGATCTTTGTTTTGTTTTGTCATTGTCTTCTCCACTTTGACAGTACATTTCAAGCCTGATGTTTTTCTACTTAGTCAGTTGCTCTTTTTATTATAATGATATTGTATAATTTATTGTTGATAGTGTTTCTACATTACAAAAAAAAGGAATCTCCAACCTTATAAATCTTGACTCTTAGGCATTACAAATTTGTGTCTGTGTGTGTGTACATGAAAGGTCAAAGGTTTAAATGAACAGATGTGTTTATTACATATATGAGTGTGAAGTTGTGGTCTGAGCGAATGTCATTGGGATTACGCTGTCCCAGTGTCAGTGAAGAAGAAAGTCTGCGTGGCCCGGCAGCCATGTTAATCATAAATCTTTATCTTACAATCCTGCCTCGCACATCCAACCCTTTCATTAAATGACAGCCAAAGGATTAGTGCAGCTAAACCACCGAGATCTAGTGGAGGAAAATGAGAAACAAAAGTATTGAGTAAACAGGAGCCCTCGCTACTGACGGTGATGCGATCTATCTATCTATCTATCTAACATAAACTAGAAACAGAATCAAGGGACTGATTTTTAATATTTTAATAACATCAACATTTCCAAAAAAGAAACGAAAAAAAATGAAAAAGACGAAGGGACATTACATGGTATCCAGTGCAAAATATGTTGGAAAGTAGATATTCATTTGCACAATGTTAACCTGAGAATTACATTTTTGCTTTTTCACCTTGATCCATCAATCCCCATTTATATACTTCCAATTTTAAAATCCAAACATTCTGTAGACAACATCTTCCAAAGATCAGCTACTTTGCGCTAGAAAATCTACCTCTGAATATGTTTCAAGAGCAAAACATGTAATAAATGACAAAGAAAATTGGACACAAAAGAAATATAACAGATAAACTATGAGTCTAAGCATCAAACAAAGAAAAACCACAAATATATACAGGAAAACCAGACACACACCTGCACATCAGAACAAAGTCCATTTACACTGTATTAAATTAAAGAATAAATAGTATTACTTTTAATTTATGTAGAATATCTGACATCACCAAAGCTAAATTAGAAGTGCTTATATCACAGTAACATCTGGTCAACATGGCCAAAGCAACATTTGCTGTCGCTAAATCATTTGGTAATGTAAGTCAAGTATTTTCTAATTTTAACAATGTGCAGCAGTGCTAGTCTATGTAAACAAACCATTTTTATTCTACATTTCCTCTACTAGCAGACAGTCTACTGAGAAAGACCTGATCCCTCAGTCTCCTTCAGTCCAGAAGACATCAGCGTCAGTTCATCAAGGATTAAAGAGCGAAGACCATCAGTCAGGTTTTATTGACGGTTGAAGCAGAATCGACCCTCCTGATTCATCTTAGTCTCTGTAGACGGAGGTTATCTGTCGGGGGGGCATGTGTGGTGGATGGTAGGAGTCATACGGCCCCTCTAAATGTACGTCATAGCCGGTCTGAGTCTGATACAGGCCCTGGTCCACAGGGGAGGGGGAGTAGTGGTGTGAGGGTGGGTAGTGGGGTGAAGGCTCCTGTTTGGGTACCATGTTGCTGCTGATGCTCAGAGGTGGTGTAGGCGGGCCGTCGTATGGAGGGGTCCCCACGCCGCCAGCATTATACTCATTTGGCGAGTGATTCTCGTACACTCCTCCTTTCATTGCCCTCAGGTGAAGCAGGTGAGCAGAGTCAAAGGTGCCATATGGCGGACTCGGCAGGCCCGGAGAGGAGTAGCTGACAATGCCACCAAGAGGAGTAGGGGCTGCCGGAACTCTGTGTCTGTCCTCAGGTCTCATCCCACCGCTAGAAGCTGGTCCCAGCTGAAAGCAGCCGGCCACCAGGTTGGTGGTGGGCTGTGAGAGACCCTTACACAATGTCTCCATGAAAGCCCTGCTCTCTGTGGAAAGGCCCCCCTCCAGGGCCTCGGACAGAGCGCAGATGTAGTTGCGTGCCAGCCGCAATGTCTCGATCTTGGACAATTTCTGTGTTTTGGAGTGACAGGGCATGATGCTGCGCAGGTTCTCCAGCGCATCGTTTAGACCGTGCATACGTGAACGCTCCCTGGCGTTAGCCTTTACACGCCTCGCACGGAATCGCTCCTGCCGGGCCTTGGTCATCCGCTTTTTCTTGGGCCCTCGTCGTTTGGACTCGTTTTCATCCTCCTGTTCCTCCTCCTCGTCCTCCTCGTCTTCCTCTACATCCTCACTTCCCATTTCCTGGGCCTGTTGGTTCACTCCACCTGCTCTGTAGCGGTGTGATGAGACTGACGCGTCTCCATCAGGTGAGCTCACGTCTCCATCCATCCACTGCAGAGGGCTGACGACCTCCTCTCCCTCGCCTTGTCTCACATATGGCTTAATCATCATAGTAGTCTAGAAACAAGAAAACATCTTTGTCAAACTCATGCTGTGGTGTAGACCGCTTTATAATCCTTATTACTGTAGTCTTACATTTCAGAAAAACTAGGGACATAGGGTGCATTCAGTGCTTCTATTAGAGCAAATCCTTTATATTGCTATTCTGTCTTAACTGTCTTATGTAATCTATGCATGCCATTATGAATAATATATCTCACTAGAGCTCAACTTGGTGTCACAGTGCTGTAGATAACCCAGTCCTGGAAAGAAGGACATTAGACATTATTTTTTTAGGTATTTCTACTTTACTTATGTATAGTTTATGCTATGACAGAATTTATCAGAAGAAAATATTGTGTTGTTTAATGTCCCTACAAGTTACTGCGTATATTTAGATTTTACATATGAGTTTATAAACTGTGATATTGTTATACAATATGTTAAACCACCAACTCAACCAGCTACAACAAAATAAAGATGCATTCAAATATTGCATCCAATATAAAGCAGGTATTCTACATAATGAGTACTTTTACTTTTGATATTTTAGGTTGTTTCTAAAATGTCTGTACTTTTACATCAGTAAATATTTGAATGCAAAACCTTTACTTTCATTTTTACATGGTATTGTAACTTTTTTTCAAATAACGGATCTGAACACTTTTTACACTCTGAAGCTTTTGTATAGACTTTCAGACAAACTCTTGGTTCACCTCAATTTACAGTTACCTGCTCTGGTTATTATGTAACAATATTATGTGGCAAACTATCACAGTGTCAGGTTTACAATAATCTGAACAACTGGTACTTTCTCTCTTCTCTTTGATTAGTTGTAGACCAATATGAAAGCATGTATGCCTTCATGTAAGCAATTATAATTTACAGAAAACATTTAACAGTTCATTTAATATCAACTAAAAATATAAATAATAATAATAATAATAAAATAGCTTCTTTTTGGTGTTTGGAGGTTAAGAGGTGCATCAGGGAGGATTCCTGGTGTTTCCTAAAATCTTGCTATGGCCCTGTAAAGGATGTAACCTGAGTATAAGTTTTCACTGACCAATAACAACCAATAATGATAATAACTATTTTGTAAATCGTAATTTACAGCAGTCAGGTTTCACCACCGGACAGTTCCCACCTGCTGTGCGCTCCTCGGCCACAGGTGTTGCTGACTAATTAAATGGCAGGAAATAGAAAACCCAGCTTTGTGGTGAGCGATTTCTATTTGAATTTTACATATATGCTTTATCTACATTTACTCCCTTTCTGCCCCCCTTCTCCCCCCTCACTCAGGGTAATCCCGGTCTACTGGTGAACTGGTAATGCCCCCTGCGAGATAAAGTCACCAACAGGACTTCAATCTGGGGCATCGCAGGATTTGTTCCGTGGATGAAGCGACGACCATGGGATTAAATGCAAGATCGACATCCCCAGATCAGTGACAGCCGACTCAGATTGAGATTGAAATCATACATTTCCACTCGCACAAATATTAATGTCTGGCCCGAAGAATTGTGAGCTTGAGCTGCTATTTGCTAAATGTCCACCACAACATAGGCTTTTGAAATAAGCTCTTAATACAATGTTTTTTCATTAGATGGCTTAGATCCATTGCCTGATGACTTTAGGTGAGGTTTGAGTCCAAAACTTCAGGACTGAATGCAGGTTTGTAAAAAAAAAAATACTAAAAAATAAATAAATAACGATTTATCCTAAACAAAAATTAACAAATAAGTCACATCAAGTCCTTCTGTGAACATAAATTAGCCTACTTTTTAATGAATTATGGAACATACCTGCGCTGGTGTGTCCTGGGACCTCCTGGGTAAGTGTTGCCAGATGATGATGATGTCTCGGTGTCTGTCTCTCTGTCCACTGACTCACACAGAGAGTGGTGAAGTTCCGTGCTGTGTCCCTGCGCAGAGCTGTCCCACACACTCTCAACGTGGGTCACTCTGCGGGGGCTCTGGGTTTTAACCTCCACGTTGAAGCTCCTCCTCCTCCTCCTCCATCCAATTTCTGTTGACGCGCTCGAGCTCGCGCGTGGCCGGCCCGTGGCTCGAGCCCCCGGAGCTCCACTCGTCGCCTCTGCGTGTGTGTGTGTGTGTGTGTGTGTGTGTGTGCGGGAGGGAGGGAGATGTGCATAAGCCCACTGAAATACTCCAGACAAACAGGAGAGGCCCACTGGCCTTTGTTGCTCCGCGAGGGCGGCCGCCAAATCCGCTGCAAGTTTGCATTGAACTGAGGAGGAGACGCGCTCAGTCGGCTGAGTCTAACTGTATGTGACAGCTTGAAGTTGCATGTGAGCAGGTGTTTGCTCCATCCCCTCTTCCAGCCATCCATCCCTCCGCACTGCGGAGACAGGCTGTTAAACAAGTTCATCTCACCCAGGAGGCAGCTCTGACCAGACGGGGTAAGGTTGGTCACATGAGGTGTGCAGTTAGAGCATCATCTTTGGGACACTTTGATTGGCCACGTGTCTCTGCAGTAGAGGTCCATGCCTTCAGGATTTAGCAGCTTGAATCACAATAAGCCATACTACTACATAAATAAAAAGTTATTATACTGAATGTTCAAGCAGGGCTTGTAAGTATTTGTAAGTGATGGAAGAAGTGTGCTCACATACTTTACTAAATACCACAATTTAAAAATATGTATACGACTAGCCTACTGTATACAAGTAGAGGTTCTGCATTAAACATATTACTTAGTGAAAAGCACTATCAACAAAATGTACCAAAAGTATCAAATCTCATTATGCTAATGCCTGATTTCACACTGTTATATTATTATGGATTATTATTTCTATTGATTATTGATATTACTGATGCATCAGGTGCAAACAGCATTTAAAAGTTAAACCACAGATAAATGGTCATAATCTGTCTTTACCACGTGGCTCAGTGGTTAGTACCGTCACCTCACAACAAGAAGGTCCTGGGTTCATCAAAACATGTATGTTACGTTAATTCTCCAGTCAGTGCCCTTGACCAAGGCCAAATGGAGTTGGTCCCCAGACGCTGTACAGTGACTGCCCATTGTACTTATGGATTAAATGCAGAGGACATATTTCACTATACATTGTACTGCGTATGATTGTATATATGACAATAAAGTTTAACCTTAATGTTCTGTACCTCCTCAAAACCCACCTCTACAGGCAAGCCTTTTTATAGTCCTTGTTTGTTTTCTCATCTGTCATCTCTCTTTTAATTTATCCTTCCCCCTTGTTTTATCTTCCTTATGTATTTACATTGGCTCCCTGATGTATGTTGGATTGGTAGGTTATACCCATATGTATATTTGTTGTTTGTCAAGCACTTTGGACATCTGTGTCAAAAAAGTGCTATATAAATAAAGCTTTACTTACTTACTTACTTACTTCTGTGACAGAGACGTCAACGGGATTGTTAACGCTCATCGTCACAAACAGAAACAGGGCACCACATGCTCTAACAGAGAGGCTTGAGGTAGGTTACAAGGTAATCTCCACACCCAAATTATGTGCTTCTCATTCCCAGGCCGCCCACCTTACCCACTGCTCCTCCCCCTGGGTCTCTGCCTTTCCTATTCCACACCTGCAGCCTGAAATGGGAATAGCAGAGCCGGGCCTCTTGCATCCCCAGAGTGGAACCAGCAGGGGAATATGATAGCTGAGGCCTTGTGTCCCCATTGCACGCACGCATAGCACATACTAGAATACTAGAATACTAGAATGAATTAGAAATTTTTTTGGTTTGTGTTATTGCAACCTTTAAATACGTCTGTCATGACAAAGCTGCTCTTTTTTTCTTCCTTTAATACCTTTTATTTTCAGTTTGACCCACTTCCTGTACACCATCCAGTCTTCATGTTCCACAAGTGGTGTTCAAGTGTAATGCTCTATGTATGCCATAATGTCCCCAGATCCCTCAGTGCTGTCCACACATGACGAAGTCCTGCTGCAGATGGTCTTCTCTTAAACATACCTCTTATTTTAACAGTCTGTGCCTCAGATGCTCATCTATTCTCCACTGGCTGCTCAGCTCACTCAGCATGTTCCCATTGCTCAGAGGACACTGCCTCCTGCATCTTTTCTAGGTATGTTTGTGAGATATGAATTGAGTTAATATGAAGGACGGATAAAACTTCACTCCAATACACACACAAACATGACCTTCCTCTGAGTCCCCAGAGTTTCTATGTGACAGTGAGGGAAAGTGGGTTTTATCCATCTGTCATAATGGAAGTCCTCAGAGAGATACCAATGCCACAGCATGACACAGTGTGTGTGTGTGTATGTGTTTATATGTGTTCATTCTAGAAAAGTAGGTAAACTGTATGTGCAGTGATCAAAATCTTTTTTCTTCCCAATAATTAACAGTGATATTGGATATACTTTTACTGCAGCAATATAAGAGACTCATTCCAGCAGACCAATATATATCTACCTTCTGCATATGTCTGTGTCCACTTCAGAATGTATAAACCTCTCTTATACATTGCAGAGAGGTAAGAGCAATGACAATACGGTCATCAAATTGTTTGGAAAGCATACAAAAAACTCCAGAGAATGAACGTTGCTCTGTATTTCATGGTCCCCCATCAACTTTAGAAATGGCCAGCATCTAAGCCAAACTTGAACCTCCCTCCAGCCCAGCACCGACCCTGGGGAGACAGGGGTGATGTTGACCATGTGTCCTCCTACTAACCATCTCATTGATGGACCCCACAACTGGGTAGAATAAACACCCCCCTCTGCCTGAACCCCTAAACCCCCTTAACCCTTCCCTAAACCCTCGGTTGGCCCCCTGTTGTGCGTGCTCATTGGCCGACCGCCTTCAGGCGTCCCTTTTCCACGGGTCCATTGTCTGGCCCCATAAGCAGCTTTGTTTCTGCATGTGCAGCTGGGCTAGCCCGCGCAGCCATTAGCCACAACACGCTAAAGGGAGAGCGGGATAATATAATTACAAAACAAAAGTCAGGTGGCTCACGAGATCTGCCAGGAGGACCCTGTTTGGGGGAGATGCGAGGACACGCTGGCGGGTGGCCAGCTATAATTCGATTATGAAGTTGTGTGAGTGACAAAAGAAACAATTGAATCTTTTTTTCTTTTATTTGCCCCACTGTGATTTAATTTGATTCCACTGGGGCTTTAAAAAGAGGCCAGTGTGAAAAGAGAGAAGATTTACTCTTCTAATTTCTAGAGTCACCAGCTCAGAAAATGTAATATGGTCTTACAAAACAGCAAATTCTTCCCTGGGCCAGCTTTATTGTCATGTTGCTGCAGCACTTTGACTGCATGTGAGGCCCAAATCAAATGAATGGCTGAAGGCCACAGTTTTCCTGAGACCTGACTGGTCTTGTGCTCTTGTTTTGCATGAATGCACAGAGACTGGTGGACAATGGGATCAGTGGCAGATCCATCTCCTGTAATACTTTCTTCAAACAGGGCTGCAAGTGTGTCCCCCTGTTCAGTCGGCAGACCAGAATTTATCCTGTTAGTCACCCTAGATGAGTGAAAGAGTAAAATCAACCCCCATCCCAGCTGGACATACATACACACACACACATACACACTTAACCCCACACTGGGGAGTCGCGCACAGCTTTATGGACAGCTGATAAGAACAGGTTTAGCTGGTGGCTACTGTTTGAAGCAGGTCAAGCAGAACAGGATCTGTTAATGTCTTTTTGTTTCTGTGGTTCATACTGCAAAAGACTGCATTTTGTTTTTTGTTTTGCTGTTTTATGAGACAATAAGCAATTGTGTCAGATGCACACATGCTCTTACTACTGAAGGGTTGGTGTCAGTATTGTGCCCGCTCAGGGTGTGTAAACGCCCATTTTTTGCCCCATTAGGCACAGTTTGATCATGCCCCTGGGAGAGCACCACATTCTTTTGCTCTGTAAGACTGCTTGGAAAGGTTACACAGCAGATTAATCCACTGTCTGGTTTACTGTTTTACTAATGCATGCGTCAGAGAGGACCACTTCTGAAAAAGAAGCTATATGAGAAGATATATTCTTTTTTCACATTATTTCAGACTGCTTTATTGAAATATGAATGACAACAAGCTTGCTGCTTCTTGTGATACCTCTATATCACCTCATATTTCTTAACTTTTAAACTGAATTTTAGAGTTTAATTACATTTTTCAAAATGTTTCTAATGAAACAAAAGCAGCCGCGTCCGTGAGTTGCTTATAGTTGGACAGAGCGGTTTCAGCTCCTGGGGGTTGCAGGAAAGGCAGAGCCGATGAACTTTTTCCCATCACCATAGAAAGAATTATCCCAGGTGTAAGTTTGGATAATGAGCTCTTTCCCTCCCAGGCTCAGACGACACCTACGGATGAGGGACAATAAAAGATCTAAATCAGAAAAGATTCACTTGCAAGAAAACATCCCAGGACATGTAGATATACTCACTGTTTTCCAGGGCGAGTGATGTAGCAGAGGCTGTATAAGGCAAAGTCAAATTCAGGGCTGCAGCCAATGACTGCAGAACCGACCTGCTTGAAGTACCCCTCCCACATGAACTGCATCCCCATGACATCAGGGTAAGTGGTCCACTGGGAGCAGGTGAAAGAAAGAAACAGAAAATAAAGTTAGAGCTGCACGTCACAGTATTAATCAACATACTGAGGTCTGTATGTTGGATGCTTACAGGCCCGTTGAAGCTGTGGCTGTAGTAGTTCAGCTGTCCTCTTTTCTCGAGAAGATAAAACTGGATCCAGTTGTGGAAACCAGACACCTTTCCTCCCTTGATCTCTCCTATTAGAGAGTGTGTTTCTTAATAATCAAAAAGAAAGAATATTTGCAAACCATTTATGGTGTCCGAAAGAAACCTGCTCGGTCCGCACCTGCAAAGATGTGTTCAAAGCCACTGGAGTCCATCTTCTTGTTGTTGCGAGAGTACAAACCAAACCACATCATCTTCAGGTCGTGAATAAACTCTTCCTCTGTTGCATAGACGCCTAAAAATTTAGAATAACATACACTTTAAACATTAAAGCAGAGGTTGGACAGACAGTAGGCAAATATACGGTTGGAGGTAAGAGGCAATTAAGATACTTTAAAACCCTTAACGCCCAACCGCTGCAATTTGTGTAAAAAATCACACTCCAATCATAACTCCAGGTGAATCTGAATGAACAGATTTGACACACGCATATCTTTGGATTCAAGGTGACTTGTGCTGTCCGAGGGTATCTTTATGTCTGACGTCCTTCACAAATACACAAATCCACTTAGAAATCATTAAAAAAAGACATGACTGCACTAATTTGCCTGACATTTCAGATTCCAGTGTGAAGAAGTCACAATTATTAATTATTGTTCACACTGAGGTTGTATTGCAAACAAATTTCAATTCAGAATTGAAAAGGTCAGATTCTGTGTGATTTGTGCTGCTCACTCTGTCATAAACAAAAACAGATCTGAGTCACATTTGAGAGAAAGAAATCAGATTTGTGGATCTGCAGTGTGAACGTAGTTGTCTGTACAGTACATTACTAACAGGAACTGCTGATGGTTATTCAGCATACTTTAATGGTGCCAACTTGACAAAATGTGAACAAATATGGGCCTAAACATCTGGGCTCAAGTTGTAGCATACTGTGAAAGCAAACTATATACACCATTTTACTGCTTATTGCATATAGTGTATATATTTTTCATTTATAGTCTTATATTTTCTATTTTATTTTGTTAATACTCTTATATTGTGATCCTTATTGTATTTGTACACTCTGTACTCTTTGCACTACATGTAGACCCAGTTACCCTTGGTGTAGAGGAAAGCAAACAGCTCTCTGCCCAGCTCAGTGTTAGACATGGTCTCCTTGACGAAGGTTTCCTGCTCAGCCAGCTGCTGAGGACTGAAATCCTCTGTCTGTCCAGTCATCCTGTGGTAGTTGTCCAGCACAGCCAGGAGTGCAGCGTAGGTGGGTCTGGAGAACAGAGTCTCCTCATCCAGATATCGGAACAAGCTGGAAGCACAAACAGAAAACACTGAACGACAGAAAAAAGGGGACAAATACATCAAGAAGTGAAGAACATGAAAGAGAGAGCTGTGCTGATAAAAATGGTCTCCTCACAGTCCAGGGGAGAGATCTGACTGGGAGCTGGTCTGAGAGTCGGGCACTAGAGCCTGAGGGTCAATGACCAACTGTGAGGCTGAAGCCTTGTTTGAATCCAGAGCATAGAGTGTCTCAGAGAGAGACTTGATTTCAGCATCAGTGATCACACCACTACCACCACCTCCTCCATCACCTGCAGATCATCACACACACAAACACAGACACAGAAACACGCACACAGACAGCCAGTGGTTAAGTACAGATTTGAGGTACTTGCTTGATTGCTTCCATTTAATGCTGCTCCACAACATTTCAAGGGAAAATCTGTACTGTTTACTCCCCTACATTTGCTTTACACCTATAAGTTACTTTTCAGATTAAGATTTTAAATATTGTAACAAACAGGCTGTATAATCAGTAGGCTATATAAATACAAACTGATGATTATAATAGATTGTTAAATATGTACAGTATTGTTAAACATCACTACAGTATATAAAAAAGTTCAACTAAGCTCCTCCTTGACCAGAAACATTAAAATGTGCTTTTTGACTAGTAGTAACATAACATTACATATACATAATAATAACATAAAGCACCCTGTTCTCCTAATGAGCATTTTCATCTTTCTTTTCATGCTTCAGGTAATTTTTTCAGGTAAAAAAGCAAGACTTTAACTTGTAATGGAATATATCTATATTGCAGTATTATTACTTTTACTTTAAGTAAATCTGAATACTTCTTCCAACACTGGGTATTATTACTCTAGAAGGGGATATGTTGAGAAAACTGAACTCTTTTTGCTTTCAATGTGTTGTAAAGCACAACAGTGACACCCACTGGTCATATACTGAAAGGAGACCAAGAGAGGCCACACAAGCCAACAGTGTGAAAGATGTATTCAGGTCCTTTTTAAGTACAGATACCTCAATATAGAAATGCTTCATTACGTTACATTAAGTAAAAGTTAAAATCTTAAGTAAAGGTAAAGACGTATTTTCTGCAAAATGTACTTTAGTTATGCAGAAAATCAGCCCCTGTGATTGCTTTTTAAATATAATAAATTATATTATTAATATTGATGCAATAGTGTGTAAAGAGCCATTTACTGTTAGTCGAGTTGGAGACAGTTTTAACTGCTTCATATACAGTTACGTAGTAGAACCAGTGGTTCCCAACCTCAGGGTTAGGCCCCTCTGAAGGATCAAAAGCTAAATCTGAGTGGTCGTGGGATGATTAATGTGAGGGGAACAAAGAAAAAAGAAAATTTTTGATACACAGTTTGTGTTCACTGTTCTCTACGTATTTTGTGAAAACTGAGCTTTTTTTAATGCCGTGGGGCTCAATGTTTGCTGACTTAGATTCATGTGAAAGTGATCAGGTGCCAGAAGTAGCTGGTGAGGAAGGAGCAACACAAACAGATAGAAACTAGCTGACTAACAGTGGTTACTGTGTGGCACGTGAGACGGTGTCAGCTACAGGTGACACATGTTTGTTCTTACTGTCACAGAGGTCTGCAAAGTCGCTGCAGCAGTTATTGTACTTGGCGCACTTGGAGTTGCAGTGGCACTCGTTCTGAGAGTTGTATGTCTCACCACATCTGCCTTTACAAGAGGTGGCTCCAGCTAGAAAGAAAGGAAACACACTTGTGATGTGAGGCAAGGTATACATTGGTAAATTAAAGGTTTTCTATGTAAGAGTCTGCTTTTGTCACTCACCTTTACATATTTCAACGTAGTCGTTGCAACAGTCGTTGTAGCGCTCACAGGATGGGTTACACTGACAGGAGAAACTATTGTCTGTTCCATAACCACAACGACCCTGACATGTGTCCAGGGAGTCTGAGAATCAATAGGAGAGATTGGTATCACCGCAGCAGCCTAATAACAAATAATAGGTGATGATGATAGTAGAGCAGAAGCAATGTCTTACTGCTGTATCCGTGGTAGAACAGGGTTGCCCAAAGTGCAAGAACAGCAATGACCTTCATCTTGGCTCAGCTGCAACCTGAAAACAAGGTGAAATGACTGTTATCATGGTCTCCCTTTTATAGCAAGTTTCACCTGACCAATCCAAACGCAGCACTCGCACTAACCCAGCCCATAAGTCAGGATGTCAGTGCCTTGATCTGGACTGTGTCTCTTGGATAAAATGTGCTGTCAGATGTGACATTTTAGCTTCTTAATTTTAAGCTGTTGTTCATAGTTAGCATTTGTAAAGGACTGATGTCTGGCATGTTGTGGAAGATGACAAGATAAGATAAAAAAAGTGCTGTTTTTAAAAAGTGGGAATACATTTTCTCTATATCTCTTCTCTGTGAAACTGCACACCTGCTCAGGACACAGGCGGTGCTTTAATGTATCAGAATTAGACCATATCAAGATGTGAGCTGTGATAAAGATGTTGATGTTATTACTCTTTACATTACAATAAATATAAATTATATTAAGTTAAGACTATTAGGTTAAATGTCTCTTTTAGCCTGTTTTTTAAGACTATATTGTCCAGTACAAAATAAAATGTATAAAAAATAAATTTCCACAGGATGGCCCTGTCTTATTTCTCCTGCCAGAGTGACCAGATGTTGTATTTCACAGGGTTTATCTAAGATAGCTCAGACTACTCAGAATAGCTCACCTCCCTCAGTGTCCCTGATTATGTTGAGGTCACATGCTCCGACTGTATATACCACACAGCGAAGATGCATGTAAATGCTTTAAGTTATGCATAGAGTATACTTTAAAATGTTAATTTACATTCTGAAGCTTTCAGATGTTTACAGACAATGTTAAAACACTTTTCTTTAGCATAGCAGCATTGGAGTCTCTCTTGGAAACTGTTGAATTTCTACAGAGCAGTTTAAATCACTATGTGTCCTCCATAATCATAAATTAAATTATAGCAATTTCTTGCCCTCAAACAGTTTATAGTTAGCTTCCGCTAGTGAGTTGGAAAAAATGGAGAGTAGGACACTGCTTATGTGTTGTTGATAACATCCAATACTTATTGTTGTAAGAAGTTAATTTGTAAAAGATTACAATTAAAAATGTTTAGTAAGTATTCTTATGGTGGTAATATAGTAATATAGTGGTATAAGTACTTTACTTAAGTGAAGTACTAATACCACACAGTGAAAATAATGAAATTGTTACTTAAGTAAAAGTAGGTCAATATAGTCAATCAAATGTACTTAAAGTATTAAAAGTAAAGGTACTCAAGATAAGATAAACAGATACAACAGATTATTATTACTCATACAGTATGTAAATGCAGGATCACATCGTTGTGATTGGTTGAGGTGGAGCTAATTTTAAACTATTTTGTAAAGGACTGCGACTAATGATCATTTTCGTTATTATGAGAATTACCATCACAATTACACAAAGTGACACATTCACAATGCGTTGATATGTCCAAACTATAGTACAAACCTTAAAATTATATAAATAATTGAAAGGAAAAACAACAAATCCTCACATTTGAGAAGCTGGAATCATGGAAATGTTCCTGCATAAAAATTATCAAAATAGTTGCTAATTAATTTTTTGTCAGTCGATTAATCCACTAATCTTTTCAGCTGTACATATATTATTAATTATAAATAATAGATGAAGGAACTAGTGACTTAAGCTGTCAAACAAATGCAGGGGAGTGAAAAGCCTCTGAAATGTTGCAGCATAAAATGGTATTTGGAGTTCAAATAGAGTAAAAGTACATTAAATTTGCCCTAAACACAGGACTTAATGAATGTAATCACCACTGCTTATGATTGAAGGATCAAGTAAGATACATTTTGATAACCAGGTCTATAGTCTTTATTTAGACTTTTGCATTTTTAATATTTTGTATGATCATATGATCAATACTGATGAGGTCAGAATCATGTAATCAATTGACAGAATATCAATATGTACTATTTTAATATTGCTTCAACCTCTGAGGTGAAGGCACTTCCCTGTACTGGGTTTCTAAAACGCAGCTGTACTCCCGGACTGTAGAGGGCGCTCAACGGTAATAAGTACCTTTACGTAGAGCCTTTTGGCCCTACACGGCTTCCGTACACAGCGTGGATGTCAATGACATTCTGAGCTTTTATAAGTCAGTTCACTTCTTCAGGCTGTGAAGATGACTTTAACACTCTTATTCAGAACAATTACAAGAGACATTGCAAAGGTGAGCACATTAAACTTTACATTTTAACTGAAGCTTGAGCTGGTTTATTAGTTTCCTTATTCTCAGATTGACCAGCCAGCGTTACTGGCCCAGTTTCATTGAGTTACCTCCATCCTGTCAATAGTTAATTCACTCTTATTTAACGTTGAATAGATATTGAGGATGCATATATATGTTTACGTGTATTTATGTGAATATTTAAATGACATTAGTTGTGACACATCTGACTGTGTACCACTGGGTTTTTGGAAGTTGCATCTTCTCCCATCTGTCACCCTCAGGTGAGCGTTTGCAAGCATGTGCAGTCGTTGCACACAGGTTGTCAGCTGCTGGCAGCTGAGAAAGCCCTCCTGATGAAACTACGGAAAAGCACCGGCTACACTTTCACTAACTGCAAGAAAGCCCTGGAGAAGTTTGATAATGACATAGCCCAGGTGAAGCCCCTCTCTCAGTCACAATATATCTGCAGCTTTGGTGCCTGATACGACTGGCTATGTGACTGTGTGTTATTGATGTGATTTTCCAATCTTCCAGGCAGAGACCTGGCTACACGAGCAGGCCCAGAAGGAGGGCTGGAGCAAAGCAAACAAGCTGGAGGGTCGCAGGGCCAAAGAGGGTCTGATTGGTCTGTTTATAGGAGATAAAGATGCAGTTATGGTGGAGGTAAGGCCAGTTGGATTATTAGAATTTCAGTTGATTGTTTTCCAGTTTGTTGGCACTGAGCAATATCTGTTGTCTTCCTTCTTGTCTGTTCGATGCAGGTTAACTGTGAGACAGACTTTGTTGCTCGCAATGAGAAGTTCCAGCAGCTGGTTAAGGATGTGGCGTTTGCCACCTTGGCTCACCACCAGAGTAAAAGCCAAAGCAAGACGGGATATGTGAAGGTAAAGACACGAGTTGTACTGGAAGTCGAACTGGAAAGTCCCATAATCTGATTTTTATGTCATTTAAAAAAAAAAATACATTTGCAAATAGACACATGGCTCATGGGATGTTCACAAACCTGACATTATTAATATGAGCTGGATGAGCTAATTTAGTGAAACTGGTCTAAACAGAACTGTTATCTTGAAAATGTTACTACAAAATATGTCTTAATAGAAGAAGTAATAATTGCAGAAACAAAAACTGTACATGGATAAACACTTAAAATGTCCTGATATTTGTTTACAAATACATGTTAGTGTGTTATACACCATTTGTTTTACATTTATATACTACATATACATGTTACATTTTAATATGTTTAACCTTGTAGCACAAAGGGAGGTGATGGAGATCATGTAAAAATTGAACTTAAGAGTATGATTCTATGGAGGATTCTTAAAATATGACAAAGTAGAGCTGTACGCCATATTTTATGTGTCGTTGGACACTTGGTATTTTGACTTAAATGGCTTTTCCACCGTTTTTCAAGTAGGAGGTCTGAGGTTAACTAACTAGCTAACTACTGTATGCAGTTTAAGACGTCTAGAGGTTGATGTTGGTAGGAAAGAATATACTACAACTGTATGCAGCACTGTTAACCCAGGATGAATGCATCAGTCCTGTTTTATTTGCACTGATTCTGCTAACATACCACATTTGTTTTCAGAGTGTCCTGGCTGGTGAGGAGTTGAGCAAACTCAGTGTAGAAGGAGCTTCACTTGCTGACAAGGTGGCCCTCACAATAGGTCAGTAAGATTTTTATTACATATATAGGAACCTATCATCATGGCACAAGCAGCACAAGTCTTACCTTGAAGTGGCTATTATGGATATTTTTTATAATAATATAATGTGTCACAATGTGAAAGGGCTGCTAGTGATGATCTTTACCTCATTGTTTAGCTGTCTGGCCC